AAGATTGGAAAACTAATTAGCATGATAGCAAATATTTCAGAGAATATAAAAGGGCTTGTTACTCCCTCCTTTCATGTAGCCACAAGCTGAGCTACTAGAAAGCTGACTTATCCTACTCATGGATGAATGAAGCAGAGACAAGCTTGACTGTCCAATTGGCCAAAGTGCCCCCAAGGTAGAAGTAATGATCATGTCAAATAGGGGTTCATCCCTAGGAGCAATAATACTTGAATTTCCCAATGTCCTAGATTTGCCCCTCATTCATTGAATCTATATCCACATGTCTTGTGCGTAAGTCCACTTCAACATCATATCTTGGTGAGTTTATAAGAGTTTGTTGAAGGTTGCCTTCTAGATGGATGATGCATTGCTCCAAAGAGTGAGAAAACATAGGGAGACTGTCATGCTTGATTTTGTTTTTGTTTTTGTTCTTGAAGTAGTTTATGAAACCTACCTACAAACAAACAGTAAAAGAAAAATAAACAAAGTTAGAATAATGTTAGAAGTCATCCCATAATTTTGCATGATTTGGTGCTTCAACAATTGCTATATGGATTCACACATCTTCGATTTCCAATCCTTAAGGAGCCTCGGATGAAGCAAAATATCTTTGAACGCCTTGAGATTTCCATAGACTCCAAGGGCTGTAGACACTTACAAGCAGTTCAACATACATTACAAAGATGGTCATTCATTACAGCATAAAAGCCTAGTACATCACACTAAGTACATCAACATGGTAGCATCTGACTCCTAGATCTTTCAAAGTACAATTGTCTAATGAGAAGTTCCATTCTTTTCCTTGATTGTTGGAGCAACATGAAGTGTGATGTGCTTGAGCTTTTGATCTTCGAGGCTGCTTTCAGTTCTTGACTTGGCAATTGTCCACAATGGAGAAAACGCTTGCAATTGAAGATCTCCTGAATCCTTTGTTGGTCAAAGCTTTCTCCATGGATGAATATTTCAAAAGTTGTCTTGATTGATGAGGAATCGTGCTTGACCATGTATGAATCCATATTTCAATTGTCAAAGGCAGAGAATCAAACAAGATTATGGGAGTGCAAGAAAAGAAATAAACATGGATGCTAAACAATAGATGAATGATGAAGGAACATGAATATGCTCTAAAGTGATAATGTGTGTGGAGTTGTATCCTAAAGCATGCATTTTTGGAAATGCAAGAAAAGAAATAAACATGGATGGGAAATGAGAGATAAAAGGATGCAAGGATATAAATATGCGGACAAGTGGTAATCTGTGTGAAATTGTATCCTAGCACATGAATTTTCTTCATTAAGTATGCCAAGCAAATTTCAAAAGAGCAGTTGGCGATTCACTATTGCAACCCATTAAATTGGTATTCATAGGAAATATCATTCCTTGAAAAGAAAGCAAATGCCTTGAAGTTTGAAGAAAAAGTGAATGGTGTGATACTTGGAGAAAATGGATGCTGTGATGCTCCAAAATCATGTGCTCAAATTATTTTAATGCCTAAGAGATGGACTTTTCATCAATTTATCTTTGAAGAACCTTTTTTTCTTTTTCTTTTTCTTTCAAAAATGTGAAATGCTTTGGATTTAGTTGAATAAGGCCCACAAGTTTGAAACATGTAACCAAATGCAAGATGGTGAGAACTTCTTCGAATGAGAGCTTGTACATTTTTTTTTTTTTTTTTTTGAAAATCATGACTTAAAGGACTTGATTGAAGAACAAGAAAATATGAGGATCAAATTTGATTTTATTCCAAACATGAAATGAGCATGAAATGAATGTAAATTTGACATGGGATGGAAAATGTGATGTAGATGTGAAATGAACATGGGAGAAATTTTCATTTTCATGCCCTTTTTTTTGTTTTGTTCTTTTTGGAAATGTAAAAAGATGAAGAAATATGAGAGGAAAACTAGCATTATAGATAAAGTTTTCATTTTTTTCATTTTTCACCATTTTTAATTTTTTTTTTATGCAACTTTTATGAAAATATGAAAAATACGAGATAGAGATAATAATGCTTGGAATGAAAATTTGAGATAGAAAATGCAATGTGAAATGCATGTGAATGAGATTTTTTTTTTTTTTGCAATTTTTATATAAGATGGAAGATGTAATGTAATGAACATGGATGTAATTTTACTTTTTTTTTGCAATTTTTTTTTGTGAAACATGAGATGAAAAATGAAATTTAAAATGAACAAAATGGAGAATGTCACATAAGATGAACATGAAAATATATTTTGCAATGCATGAGATGGAAAATGCGATACAATGGACATATAACATGTGAAATTTTCAAGACATATGGAAGATTTAATGTGAAACAATCATGAACCCTTTTTTTCTTTTCTCTTCTTTTTTTTTTTTTTGATGCATGGGGTTGAAGATGAAGATATGAAGTGCATGGAATGCTCCTTACCTCAAGAATGATGTCTGAATGCAAAAGATGAATAACTAATCATACCTCAAACGTATATAAAAACGAAAACCTATCATATGCGGAAACAAAGTTAGTGAAGAAAAATGCCCCTTTGTGTCTTAGACACGAGATTCCTAATCTCACAGGTAAGATGCTAAGGGAAACATGCCTTAAGGTTGGTATCTCTCTAAGGCCACTACATGTTTTTCTAAAGGGCATTAGGCCTTCTCAACCATTTATCCTTTCGGAATCAACGGGAGATATTTCCAAAAGCTAATACACAGAATGATATTACATCATCAGGTGTCGTATTAACCAATGGAAACAACCTAATGGGAACCGATCTTACTCCTCAAAGCGGGAAG